ATTTTTTTACTCCCTTGAAGCTGGAGGGAGTCCAAACTCTGCTCCCGGCCAGAGGCTGGCAGCTGGGTTTGCCGCGGTGGCCTCTGGCCTCCGTCTCCGCTCTCCGTTGCCCCGGGACCCCAGGGCCCTGTGAGGTGGCCGTGACCGCATCGGGAGCTCCGTCACCTTTGCCCCTCGGCGCCCAGGAGCCGGCGTTCTGCTGTGTGGTTTGGGCTTTATGGGCTTAATGCCCGTGTGCCCCGGAGAAGCTGATGACAAGCGGTGATTCTCCTTTTTTACACTTCGGAGGCAGATTTAAAGCCTCGTCACTGCATTGCGGAGCCGTCTGGAAAGCAACCTTCAACCTACCCCCGTGTTCCAGACGCTGATGTCTGGGCAGGCAGCCTGCTGCGGGCTTGAAGAGACTCCGTGGATTAGTAAACACTGTTAATCAACCTTTTTTTTTCTTCTTCCAAGGCATCAGTGGGGTGATGCGAACTTTATAGTCAAAGCAAGGAAGCAGCACGTGAACCAGATGAACTCTGCTGTGCCTCAGCTCACCTGGAAGCACCGGTGAGATCCAGGGTAGAGCCTTTGGGAGGATGAGAAACCAACAGCATCCATCTGTCTGTGCTGTCCGTCCGCTCGGCCCTGCCGGGAGTCACTCAGGTTAACCACAACAGGTTTGCTCAGGGAGAAAGTTGCAGCTCTCACAGTAAACAAAACATTTTGCTGCAACATCTGAGCAAAGAAAGTCAAAATTTTCCATAATAGTGCTGCAGCGGCCAGGATACTCCAGCCTTTAAAAGCCAAATAAAGATTTATTATAAGGATTTATCAGTAATATTGATATACACATACAAATGCATCTGTGTGTATGTATGTGTAATGTCTTTGTACAGTAAAGGTAGAAGGGTTCAGGACTTTCGTCTTTCTTTGAAGAAACAATCCAAACCCTGGAAGGTTAGTAACTGTCAACTGACAATATGTTGTTTAAATTGACCTTGTCAGCTGCGGCTCATGACTTTCCAGCAGAGGGAAATGCAGCACAAGCGATGAGGGGTTGTGGCAATGGCAGGCAGCCCTGGCAAACGCATACTATCTCTGTTCAATTTTAACTTCACTTTCTTCCACTGCCAAATTCTGATGCATGCTGAGTGATTAAAAATATCAAATACAGTGTTACCCAGCAAGGAGTCAAGTCAGAGGAAAAAAAAGAAACCAAACCTAGTGAAGCCAGTGCTGTAAAACAGAGCAGACTGAGGCAAAGAATGGAAGAAGGCAAGATTTTATATAACCCTGTTGAGCGTATCTTAAGAAAAAGGAGAGGATTGTCCCAATGTGGTTTGGGTTTGGGGTATCCCCCCTCACCTGCCTTCTCCACATCCCCACAGCTGGGATGGGAGTTGTTGGATTTCCATGCACAGAGAGTGAGCTGCCACCACACCGGGGACAGGAACCACTGGTGCTGGAAGAGGGGGGATTTCTGAAGGAAGCAGCCAGCGAAGTGGTTGATGTTGCACAGTAAATTGAGTGGCACGCTGTCAGAATCGGAGTTCTGTGCTGGGGCCACGGCTTTACCAATATCTCTCTGCTCCATCTGGAGCTCCTGAGCCTCTGCTGTAGCCTTGTCCCTTGGGTCCTGTCCTCGCTGACTCCGAGCCCTTTGGAGCGAGGGGTGTCCTGCTGCGTGTGTAGGTGGCCCCAGGGAAAGGGCTTTTAGCGAGGGTGATTGGTGCATGACAGGAGCAAAGAAAAGCTGGGAAACACTGCTGCTGCAGCACCAACTCCAGCTGTGTCCCGACAAGTCTTGGTGCTTGTAAAGAAGAGAGTAGCAGGATCTGGCCCTGCTCATGTGCTCTGCTTCAGGGTCTGTCTCCACGTCCCTCACGTTGTGGGTCACCACACTTGGGATCAGAGAAGTTTTGGGAGCAGGAAGGGATGCTGGCCTGGCTCTTGGGTGCATCAGCTGCATCCTCCTGCAGCTCCCACCTGTGGTCCCTTGACCAACCTTTTATTTTCTGGAGTCTCCAGACAATCTCCTGTGACAGCTGAGCTCTGGGTCGCTCCATGTCACCTCCAAACACAAGTTAGGAACAACCTGCTGCGGGCTTGAAGAGACTCCGTGGTTTAGCAAACACTTAATCAACCTTTTTTTTCTTCTTTCAAGGCATCAGTGGGGTGATGCGAACTTTACAGTCAAAGCAAGGAAGCAGCACGTGAACCAGATGAACTCTGCTGTGCCTCAGCTCACCTGGAAGCACCGGTGAGATCGGAGAGGCAAGTGGCAGGGGAGGAGCAGGGCGTCAGGGCAGAGGCTGCCCCACGTTTCTGCTCTGCTCCGTGGCGTGGGGGTGGCCGCAGCTCAGCTGCAGAGCAGAGCCATCAACCGCTTGCGTACTCGCTACCTTTTTATTTCATCACGGGAAGCTGGATGTTTTTTATGGGTTTGTGCAGTGCCTCGGCCTAGCCAAGCCCTGAGCTCGGTGGAGCCTCTTTTCCCTTCTTGCTGCCGTAATGCAGTTAGAAAATAAACCCAAGAGGTTTCCCTGGATTCTGTGGATTTGCTTCTGAATGATGCCAACCCAGGAAGCCCGGTTCCTGTTGCAGGTGTTGAGTGCCTCCCCAGCTTTGTGGTACAGCCCCAAATCCCAACCTGGCCTGAAAGAGCAGGGAATTCACCCAAACCCGCCTTGTGCCAAGGAACAGGGACTGGTCCTGCGCGGGCTGACAGTGAGTACATGCAGATCTGCTCTTGCTGTCACTTACAGTTAATTTATTTTTAGATTAAAAAATGTTTTTATTTCTCATGCGCACAGAATTGGCACTGCTTTTTTTGGGTCGTAGCTGACTCCATTGTCTTCTCCAGTTATGCCTCCCCTGCAGTGCCGAAATGAAAAATTCCAGTTACATATTGTACAGGGGATGGGAGCTCGGAGGAACTGACTCATCTCGGTTATATTTGTCTTTTTCAAAGGGGAAGATCCTGGTCAAGGGGTGGTGGGGAACAGCATCCGTTATCTCCCACCCACTGCAGCAAACATGATGGTTTTATCAGGGTTCCGCGGGGTGCACAGCTGAGAGCCCAAGCAAAGGCAGCCCGGCGTCCTCGCAGCGTGAAGCTCCTCAGGCTGCTCAGACAGTCAGAGCAGCGGGGAAGGGAGGGGTTTGTGTCATTTCTTAGAAAAATAACTGTGGCTCCAGTGTGACAGAGGCCACGGCGCGCTCCCTAGGACGCAGGCCAAGCCCCCGCAGGTAGCGAGCCCCAGCCCTAGGGACATTCCCCACTTGTGAAGGAGGGTGGAGAGGGAGGACGACCCCAAGCTGGGGCTGAAGTGAGGTGCTGTAGCGCTCCCAGCTCGCTCCATGTGGGTAATGCTCAAACACAACAGCCAGGACACTGGGATGGCCGGTTCCTCGCCCTGAGCTGGGGCATCAGTCAGCATCCCTTCCCTGAACGTCTCCATCTTGGGAGCTGCAGCAGCTTGAGCTGTGCGAGCGGTGCCATGGCCACACCTGTGACACCAAAGCGTGGGTGTTCAGTTTGGTTTGGGTGTGCAATGCCATAGTTTGGGTGTGTATTGCCATAGTTTGGGTGTACAATGCCACGGTTTGGGTGTACAATGCCTTGGTTTGGGTGTACAATGCCATGGTTTTGGTGTGCATTGCCACAGTTTGGGTGTGCAGTGCCGTGGTTTGGGTGTGCAATGCCTTGGTTTGGGTGTACAATGCCATGGTTTGGGTGTGCAATGCCACGGTTTGGGTGTGCAGTACCACGATTTGGGTGTGCAATGCCATGGTTTGGGTGTGCAGTGCCATGGTTTGGGTGTGCAATGCCAGGACCCAGACCTGCAGAGCTCAGACCTTGCAGTGCCATGGGCTGGCCCTGCGGCACCGCGGGCCCTGGCGCTGGGGGTGAGTGCTGCCGCGGGGGGCCGGAGGCGCGATGCTCTGTGGCGCCCAAGGACAGCTCTTCCCCAGCCGCCGCGTGTCACGTCGGTGCCGTCACGTGCAACCTGCCACATGGGCTTTTTGCGTGTCAGGAGGGAGCCGGGAGCGTGCTGGGGGATGTGATAAGGCCCCGGCATGCGGTGGCGTGAGTACAGCTCTCCTGCGCGGGCCCAGCAGCTGCAGGAGCCGCTTCCACTTCCTGCCCGTCCCTGCCTGTGCAGCGCAGCTCCATGCTGTTCAACAGCTGCTGCGCTCCATCCTGTTTCGTGATGAAAGGTGCTTTAGAAGCGGAAGAAAGTTATGATGATCAGGAGAAATAATGTACAGGCAGGGCTGGAGACAAGGCACGCCTGCGCTCATCCTGGTCCCAGTCCTTGGGATGGGTGGTGGCGGCGGGGGGATGGACATCTTCAGCCAGGCAGTGGCGCAGGGACCCTTCCCCACCTCTGATTTTGGGGGAGACCACAGGGGTGAGCATGGGTGGCACATACAGGGTTGGTTTGTTGTGCTCCCGCTGGGCCAGCTCGCTGCCGTGCCGTCCAGTGGCGTGCTGACATCTGGCAATCTCAGACCCGTGGCCAAATCTCCTTTTGTCACCGGGATGAAAACTGGGGGGCAGGAAAAGAGGCAGCACTGGGGATGCCCACATGGCTGAGAGCCCTGGGGCTGGGACTGGCGGGGTGCTGGGATCACCCACTCTTGGGAGGCCCTTCGCAAGCAGAAGCACTGGTTTGGGTAAAGAAGAAGAAAACGAGACCTAAAACTTGCATAGGACCAAATCAAACTTGTAACTGCATTAATCCAGTGAAACGGGTGACTTACTAGTGTGTTGGAAGATAAGATTAATCAGAGCATATTTACATATTGGAACAGAGCTAATATACCGCTTATTGCATGTAGTCATTAACCATGAAGAAACTTGGCGAGAGGGTTGACGTGAAGATTGTTTGGTTTCTAGGTAAAAGAGAAGCTGGTTTTCTTTCAGTCCGGTTCCTTTCAATCACAGACAACTGTTTGTGTCCTGTTGGGTTGCAATTATAATCTTTCAGATCAGACACATAATCATTGGGCTGGAGAGCAAAAAGTACCTGGGTAATGTGCTTAACAGAAATTAACCTGGTTACGTTCGTACTCTATTGAAAATGAGAAAGTGCTGATGGTCAAAATCAATTTCTCCCCAGCCAAATTACTGCAGGGCTGGCTTAGGGTTTCAGCTAAATGCTCAGCCCGCAAACAGTGAGCCTGATTGTATTGAATTAGGCTCCTGATCATATAGTTCCAATGATGGCAATGATTTGCCTTTAATGCTAGCAGCGAGCGGGTGGGCAAAATGGAAAATCCACCCCGTTTTCCCCCTGGGACAGCACAGAGGGTCCCGCTGGGTGTCCCTGGTGCCGGCCAAACGCGGGGCTGTGGGCAAGCTTTGCCCAAGCCTTCCGTGTCTGTGTTATAGCCCGTTGGTCCGGGATCGTAGCTTGAACTGGGACAAGGGGCTGGGGGACAGGGGGTGGGATGGTTTGGGATTTGCAACCCTAAGGGCTGATAAATCACAGCCTTCCCAGGGCGGGGGGCAGGGGGGGAGTGGTGGTTCTTTTGGAGACTTCTTAAGTGCCTGGAGAGCGGGGCAGCTCTCCGCAGCACTTGTCAACTCCTGCCTGGTTACATCTTTTCCCTTAAAAGCCGGAACCTCGCGGAGTTTCCTGGATGAGAGCACCTCAGTCATTAACTGTGAATTTAAAATGAAGCAGATTTACAGTATATATCACAGAAATATGCCGGTGCGAGACAGCAGGAGAGCAGCCTGGGGCACCCACCTCTGTGTTTCTCCCCTCACCAGGCTCTGGCTGGGAAACAGCCCGGCCGAGGGGCGACTCTGGAGCATCACCCGCTGGCACGGCCACCCCGGTGCGCCAGCACGGGGCTGCACCCTGGACACAGCCATTTCAGGAGGTGCCAGGCTGCTTCTCCTTCATCCTGCGGGATGGGGACGCCTTCGAGGCTCCCAAAACCCAACAGCAGCAGGGATTGATTGCAGGGGGCAGACACCTCCCCGGGGGGAATGTGACAAGTGGCAATTAATTAGCTGTCAATAATGGGGAAGGATGGGACCTGTGGTCCCGCTGTTGTGATTAGGAGGGAGAAGGAGGCCAGAGGGAGGGATGCTGCGAGCTGGGCAGCATGGTGGGGGCCACTCCTGCTGCTGGTCCCAGCATGAGTATAATATGATGTCCACAGAATGTGGGAAACTCGAGAGTCTGCCCTGGATACTGGGGATTTGCTTTAATCCCTGCTGGGGGACACAGGGTTCGGTCATGGCCATCCCGCTGGGTGCACCCCAGGGATGTGCTGGGATGGACCCATCCCCGGCGGGCAGCAGGGCAGGGGGAGGCTGTGGGGGAGCAGCCTCTCTGGGTGCAGAGGGAGGATAACGTAACGTTTGCCCCGATCAATGAAGATTTTGGTTTGTGAGTTATTAGCCTGGTGTCATAAACTATCTCAAAACCACAAAAGTAAAATAATAAATCTCCCTGTTTACCTCCTGCACGTTGTTTTTAAGTACCAAAGTCCCTCCAGGCATCTGTTCAATATTGCATCAGCCAAACGCGAACACAAATCACAAAGATGAAGCTGGATTTTGGGGAATATTAGTCAGTCTTTGCTGTTTTCCAGCTCTTGGCAGTGTACAGAGAAGCTCCCACGGGCTTGCTGGGCATCACGAGCAAGTGCTGACCTCGTGGTGAGGGCAGGGGGCCAGGGCTGAGTGGGGCTGGGGAAGGGCTGGGCGAGGCAGTGCTCTGTGGCACCTGGGGGATGTGTCCCTGGCCCATGTGGGCCCTAGTTTAGATGACTCTCAGCCCTGCCTTGCTGTCCCCCGGCTCGTGCGCTTCTGCTGCTGCAGACCCTCCCAGTCTGATCATCGCTTTCTTGTAACCCCGCGGCGAACCCCCCCTGTGTGGGAAGCACACTTTAGCCGTCATTAAATATTAAAGGGCAGCCGGTGCTGGTAAGCAGCAGGTACCTCACCCCCAAGCTGCGGTTCATCAGCAATGCCGAGGGGCCAGGGGCCAGCTCCCCCCAGAACTCCCAGTGCTCCCAGTAGACCGCCCCTGGGTGCACAGGGCAGTGCTGGGGGTCCATAGGGCACCGAAGCCAGCAGAGGGGCTGTACCTCCCTCGCTCCCATCCTCTACCCAGTGCCCCAGGGAGCCTGGAGGTGTTGGGGTGTCTCCTGACCCCCCACAGCCTCCCTGCCCCTCCTGCCAGCCACAGGTTTTCTTTTTAAAGATGCTTCTGGTTGCTCTTCCCAGTATTTTTGTCTCCTGGCCACAGCCGCTGCATCCTCCCTCATCATTAACTGCCTGGGTTGGGTTGCTCCGTGGTTTTCCCCTATCCCAGCGGTCTCCCCCTCATTACCCACCAGAATAAACCATTCAAAGAAGAAGAAGAAGAAAAAAATAAATGGTAAAGGCTATTTCAGGCAGGGCCAGGGCCAGCGGGTTCCCCTCCGCAGCCCTGGGAGCCAGATCTGGGGAAAACTTCCAGCTGCAAAGAGAAACCTGCCTGGCCACAGCCGAGACCTGGGAGGAAAAAGCAGATTGCAAAGGCAGGGAGGGATGATGGGGAGTGCGGGGGCTCGCCCTGGTGTGCTGCACAGCTCCGGGGAGGGGTGCTGGAAACCCAGCCTGCCTTTCAGGTGTGAAGCAATTAGGGTGGGGGTTTGATGGCTTTAATGAGAGGAGTTCAAAGAAGAGAGATGGGGCCGCAAGGTCTCTTTCCTGGGGAGATGCACTTTGGTGGCGTTGCGGCGCATCGGGGCACATCGCTGCCCGTCGTGGCTGGTACCCAGCACCGCGAAGGAGTCGGGGAGCAGGCTGCTCCCCGCGGGACACCCCCAGCCCCACGCACGGCCTCTCTCTTTGCAGCTGGCAAACATGGCGTTTCCCATCTCCACACCTGGATTTCAGGACCCCCCACACGGTTCAAAGCCCGAGAGCGGAGGAAGTTGGCCCCTTCCCTGACCACGGGGAGCCGGAGCGGGGTCCTGCTCCCTCCGTGCCCCACAAAGCCACCCCGTAGCTGGTGCGGGGTTTGGGTTCACAGGGCTTGAAAACCAAAAGGAGCTGAGTGGGAGGATTTTGGGGGTGCAAAGCTGAGCTCCCCATGCTCCCTGGCCCCGTGCTCTCTCCAGCCACTGGCAGCGGGATGCTCCCCAGCCAGGCTTGTGTCTGACACACCATAGCAAAGCCCCGCTACTACACGAGGGTTTTTTTTTTGTGGTTGCGGAGTCGGATTCTGCTGGGATGTAAACAGGTGCAGCTTATTGCATTTCTTCTGAGGCCTGATTTTGGCCCCTAAAGTGTTAAGTGAGTGCTAAGCCCCATAAAATTACCCTTTCAGCTACTATTTCTGCACAAAAGGCTTTCAGCAACAAGATATGCCAAAGCATCTGATGAAGTAATATGTCTATTCTCATTTGTGACATTTATTATTAACAGGGAAAAGAAAAAAAAAAAAAAAACCAGCCAGAAAGAACTCTTAATTGAAGGACTATTGTGCCGTGGTAACTGCTATTAAATTAATCTGCTGCATTCCTTTCCACCCACACACTTTAAAACTTCCTGGTTATAATTAGAACCATTTAAAACCAATTTGACACTCCTTGGATGATGCAGTTCAGCTGCTTAATATGGTGAAACTTTGGTGAAAGGAGCAGAGAGGGGCTGCAAGCAAGCTGGGTTTGCTCAGCTCTTGTGGAGGATCAAACCCAGGAGCTGCTGCTCGTGTATGGGGGTGTTCAGTCCTGTGGGGAAATTCAAGCTTAGGTCTGCTCCCCTTGGGGGCTGTAAGTCCCCCCTGAGCTGTGACCCGTCTCAGTCATCGGCAGTTGTCCCATGGGAGATGCTCCTGCAAGAGCTGCCCAGAGCAGCCTTCACCCGTGGGTGCTGAGAGGGTTGGGTGATGCTGGTCTGTGCTGGGGGGGTACAAATGCCTTCCCCCTGTTTTGGGAGGCACCTTGAGTAGTCGCCTCCTCCTCTGTGCAAGGTGATAAATGCACCGAAGCAAAAAAAAAGTGCCTGATGCAAAAGCGTTTGGGTGTTCAAGTGTGGTAAAAAGGCATCTAACTGCAGGACCAAAAGGTTATTTTTGGGCAGTGGGAGACCAAGTGCTGGGAGACCAGTGGGAGACCGAGGTGCGTGCTGATGCCTTGCACCTCTGCACCAACGCTCTGCCTGCCTCAAAACCTCGCTCGGGGTGAGGAAACCCTCAGAGGGTGCTAGTCCAGGGCTGGATTTGGGAAGGGATCTCTGGCTGTGTGGGAGCTGGAGCATAGCTGTTTGCTGGGAGAGGAAACAGAGAAACCACCAGGCCTGGCTGAAAACTGGTGCTGAGCCTCGGCAGGTGTCACTTCTGCAAATCTGTTCCTGCTCGGCTGCCTTTATCTGTCATTCTCATAACCACCTGGGTGGCATTTCGATGGTATCTGCAGGGCCGTGCGTAGCTCTCGAGCACATCCCCAACCACCTCAAGGCAAAGCCAGTTCCTCTAACCGGCCTTGGAAGATCCCGTTAGTCACGGTATCTTTACTGTCACCTTCTGTTTCCTTCTCCATTTGGCTTTCAGTTTTGCAACATGTGTTAACCAGGACTGTGTGCCGGATCCAGACCCGGCCCCGCAGCTTCCTCACCCGCCGCTGGGACAATTTCCTCCTGGCACCCACCTTGCACCCCGTCCACTCAGCGACCGGGGTGTGACGGCTTCAACTCATAGGTTTTGGGGACAAAATAGGGTGTTTTGTGCTCTGTACCCTCTGTTCCACGTGTTTTCCCTCTGGGGAAGGGCTGCAATGAAAACCTTGAGGCTGGAGTGTTGTCTCTGGTTCCCTCTGCTGCAGCTCGGTTTCAGGTTCCTGCTCGGACGTTGGGGCCGTCACTTTTTGGACGTGCTCTGTGCAGAAATTCAGGCTGCCAAATTCTGCCAAAAGGCCCCAGCAGCTCCACAGAGCCTCTTAGTGGGAGCCAGTAACAGCTCCTGGTCCTGCTCACTGCTGCTGCCAGCTCACCCCCTGCACTGCGTACAGCTCCAAGCACATATTTAGCCATTCTGACCAGCACTATTCGCCCTTTCCTCAGGGCCAGACCCCCTCCTTCCCATGTCAACACCTTCCCTTTTCTTTTACCTCACTGCTCTCCCTCTTGCCAATGTTTTACATCTCTCTCGGATGCCCTTAATCACCCTCAGCTCATCTTCATCTCCCTCCCTTGTGCTGCCCCATCCAGGGCTCAGCACGGTGGCACGAGGTGGGGACATGCTCTCATGCCCCAGCCAAGTGAGTGCTGGGGTAGAACAACAGGGAGAAGGAAACGGGAATTTTTTTCCCTCAAGCAGCCCCCGCTGTGGGGCAGGGACCCCCAGTTGGGGCTGGTGATGTGGAGCTGCAGCCGACAGGTCGTCTCTGCAGGGACGGAGCATGATGGGGCTGGCGTCACCGCGTGTGCAGATTTGTTTGGTTGTTGTTTTTTTTTTTTTAATGAACAAACTCCAATTTTTCAGATTTTGAATTTCCTCCCTCCTTCTGTCCTCCCCCTTCTTCCGCTCTGGAGCACGATCAACCCCCAAAGAACAGAGGTTATTTATGCATTTGTCTAATCTGTCTTGGTTGGGTTTGTTGGTTGGGGTTTTTTTTCCCTCTTGCTACTTTGTAATTTTTTCCCAACTTTGGAAGCACGACAGAGTGGCCAAAGGAAAAACAAAACAAGGATATTTCTGCTACCCTGTAAGTTTGCAAAAATGCTGCGTGCCTGCGCTGGTGCGCGGCGGGGGGCGTAACGAGAACCAGGGGCTGCGAGCTCCGGCCAGACGGAGTAAAATTAGCCGAGGAGGCGGGAGAGGGGGAAACATCTTCATCCCGGGAAGCCTCCGGAGCCCAGATGGGTTTGTACGCAGCGAGCGGGATGCGGACTGCACTCGCCCCTTGCAGCAGGGCCGAGCCGAGCCCGAGCGTGATCTACGAGTCCCCTCTGAGCGTTTAGCTCTGCTCGTTACAGCCTCCCCATCTGTCTCCCTTTGCCAGCTCTCCTCCCTTCGAAACCCAAGCCAGGGCTGGTTGTCTTTTGCTTCCCTCCAAGCTGCAGCATTTCCCCAAACTGGGCAGATCAAGCCCTTCCTTCATGGTTGCACAAAGAGGAGCTCCTGGAAGGACCCGCGCACCCGCGGCCACCTCTCCTGGACCCCCATCTGCCCGGGGCCAAGGGGACCCCGTGGAGGGGAGAGGGGACACCGAGTCCTCCCTGGCCACCCAGGGAAGTTCTTTCACTTGTTGTTTACAAGTGGTGCCTTGGCAGGAGGCGTCAGCTCGGCGGCTCTGCCAGTGTTTGTCACCGCGCTCACGCCCGCTGCTCGGCGGTGCCCATCCCGTCGGCGGTGGCAGTCCCTCTGCATTCCCACAGGCGGCTGGCTGTCCTCGGGCTTGTCTGCGTGTGCCTGTAAAATGTACTTGGATTTGGGTCTTGAGGAAAAAAAAAAAAGAAACTAAAAACTAATCCAAGCTGTATAAGTTTAGGCGTAGAAATTGCTCTGGGTTACGGACACGGGGCTGTGCCAGTCTCTGAGACCCATGTGTGGCACTTGCTGGGGGCTTTCTGATTATTTCAGAGAAACATCATGGGCTGCGCTGTTATTCATATATATACATGTCCATTAAAGTAAATGTAGAGATTAGGATGTGGATAAACGTGATTAGAGAATCGATCCTGCCAGGTCAGAGGTCCTGGCAGAGGACTCTACTGGAACTGATTTAGGCATGACAGAGGGTAACTGAACAGGATAAAATGCCCGTGCTTGTTGGCAGGGCGATGGTAATTAAGACACATGGGTGCCCCGGCCAGGGCCTGGGTGGCACCGTGGCACTGAGGGTGCAGGAGTGGTGGTGGGAGCACAGCGCTTCCTTCCTTCCTTCCTTCCTGGGAATGGAAAAGAGGGATCGGTTGAAATGAAGCGGGACAAGGAACGAAACAAGCCTGTTCAAAAGCTGATTCGATCTGACATGGTCTTCTGAGCTCTCCAAGTGGCGTTTACTGCTAAAGATACAGCAGAGAAAATAAATCTCCCGGGCATGACAGCTTGCTTTAATTAATAACA